GAAATAATCTGTCATAGGGAACCCGAAAGGGGCGCTGTGGGGTGCTAACACCTTCCCCACGCGTAACCGACTCCCTTACCCAACTCTGGTTGTAATGGCCAAAGTTGATTTATAAAATCAATTGCCTTATCCCTTTTTCCAATGTTTTGAGTAAAACATTGGTGGCGACTCCATGAACCCTTCCTTTTTATGAAAACCGCTAATCCATGGAGGGTCCCGCTTGGGATTAACATGGATTGGTGAGCCTTTTAATAAAATTGCTCGTTTGACGAGGTCTCAGTTTGAGAATAAGTCATTCTAGCAATCCATATTTTTAAACAAATAAAAGAGTCCAACCATCCTTCGCGAGTGCCGAAAAGCCCGTTTCGGGCCGGTGGCGACATTCCTTAGTTGGAATCTACTATTGGCTTGCCATCCGTCATGAACTTGATTTTTTGGTGGAACAAGGAGGGTACAACTTGAGTTTAATGCGTCTATGGAATTTCTTAGGAGGTAACTGTAGGCAGGAGTGATAATAGAGCTTTGATGTAGAATTTTCATAGAGTCTTACTTTTTGGAAAGGATACTCGATCTTCCTTTCGGTTTTCAACTCGAGAAGACATTGCCCCCTTTTTTATCCCTAACTTTTGCATAGGACGTATCCTATCGAGACTTTTGATATATATATTTTTTATTTTGATATATATATATTCTTATTATTATAACCCTAATTTTTGCTTAGGATGCTCTTTGCAGGTTTTCATCCTAGCGAGTTTTTAACAAGTAATGTCTTTAAACATGATACTCCTTTTCCATGTTGAAATTATCTTGGTAAGAAAACATTTGAGAGATTTGTCTCCCTCCTTAGATTCCTCTTCTTTCTTCTTTAAACTTATTCTTCTTTATGGAGGTATCAATTTCACAATTTGCTAAGTCTTGGCCACTCCTGGCCATTCCTCCAATCCTAGTGATTTTGGATAGGTCCTTTGATGATGATGTTTGGATTTTCGCGGCTTCATCCTTGTTGCATGGGGAAAGGCTCGACATCTTGATAGTTAATTTTGACATTCTTTCCCCCTTTGCCCACTTGGATAGTAACTGGTTTCACCCTTGAGCGTGCCTCACTCCAGAGTGTGGGCTTGACTACTAGCAACTTACTTTCCATGATTAACGCTTATATATTCATTTCCATTTTTATTCTTATTTATTCTTTTACAAGGAAGGATATTTTCTAAATGAATGTAATGCATAATGTCGAGAAAGTTGAGAATTGATAAATATCAGTCTCATTGATTTGTTTACCGTTGAATGCTTAAATAGATTTTGACAGTGTCAAGCGAGCATCTAAAGAAATTTTTAAGTAGTTGATGTCTATGTGAAACACGTCTTATTAATGCCTAAGTCTGCACTTTTTGTATCAAAACTTTCGGCTTAGTAGACTCATAATTTTCCCCCAAAAACTTTATTAATAAAACATTTTTGTCATAGTAGGCTTTTTTTTTTTTTTTTGCAAAAAGTGCATAATAGATTCTAAGAAGGCTTGCCTCAATATACATATCAAAGTATGGGCCCAACCATAATATTTTCAAAATCAATTTGGGCCTTTATTTAGAGCTGTCGCAACTCGAAAATTTCCGATCTCGCGACTTATGGTTTATACAACCTTTTAAAGATCTCATCAATTAGGGAATAGCCGGACACCAGACTAATCCTTAATTAATGATTTTGAAAAATGAGTTCATCGAGTCACCACCAATGTTTTACTCAAAACAATGAAAAAAGAAAAGGTTTTTAAAAATCCAATAATGGTCTTGATAACCAGAATTAGGTTCGGGGTCGGTTACATGTAGGGAAGGTATTAAGCACCCCTACGGCGCCCTTAATCGGTACCCTATGATGAAATTAATGTGATAAGAATTAATAAATTAAATATTAGATCCTCTTTATTAATATTTATTTACATGCTATAAATTAAATTACACGATTGATCCTAAAATGTCTACATGGTTGCTTTTATTATATTGATATTTAGGATGAGGGAATAGAGAAAAGAGAAGAGAATTGAGTGAAATACCTCTTAAACGAGCTTTATTGAATCTTCAAATATGGAGATCTTTTAGGTTCTTTGTGGCAACTTTCACACTACAATATGCCTCATAAAATCTCAAGAAATACAAAAAGAGAAAGAAAGAGAGAAATTTCGAGCACTAAGGAGTCTTGGAAGAAATTTTATAGCCCTGAGAACTGTGCCCAAGTCTACTATTTATAGACATTAGAAAGTAGCTAGAACGGTCCGTTCCAAAATCTGAACGACCCGTTCTAGATCTGACCACTATGTGTTAATTTTGTAACTGGAACGACCCGTTCTTAAACTAGAACGACTCGTTCCAGAGATGAGTTTAACACATAAATGACTACGCTGGAATGGCCATTCATTCGCGAGTGCCGAAAAGCCCGTTTCGGGCCGGTGGCGACATTCCTTAGTTGGAATCTACTATTGGCTTGCCATCCGTCATGA